TTAAATACTTGCTTCATTTCTATTTTTTGCACTATTCATTTATCCTACTTTGGGCGTGTTCGTCACTAGCTTTTGAGTAGCTTTTAGTGGTTTGACCAAGTCAAATCACTACTTGAAAAAAAATATAAGTGTTTGACAAAGTAGTGGTTAGGGTAGCTTTTAATGGTGGAGGTAGCTTTTATGAAAAGTTAGAAAGATTAGCTTTTGAAATTAGAGGTAGCTTTTGAGGTAGCTGTTGAAAATTTAATCTATAGTTTTAAAAATAAAATGTTGATTTTTATATGTAACAGCTAGTCAACCGCTAATTTACCGAACCCTCATATCTAAATTATTTATCTTCATAGCTAACAGCTTGTTGACAGCTAACAGCTGCATACACAGCTCACAGCTATCTTCACCGCTACATCTACCTTCATAACTATATTTTGTCGAACAAACCCTTTGACTAATGTTTGTGATTTAAACATAAGAAAAAATATAGTCTTGTGAGTACTTGTTGGAATCATCTCAATGAATAGATTATTAATTTTCAATTGTTAGAATTTATATTTATTGATAATTAAATATATTAGTGATCAAATATTGCATCGGTATGCGTGTCCAAGAGAAATGGAGCAAGTATTTAAAAACGGAGGGAGTAATATTTTAAGGTAAAGTGAACAGAGCTTTAACAGAAGGGAAAAACATTATCCCGTAAAATATCGTTAGATTTGTTTCGACATTTAATTTTCAAATAATATTTTTCTATTTTAATAAGTGTACAATAAATTTGCGTAAAATTATGTATCAATTAAAGTATAATACCTATTAAAACACGGGAGAGTGAGAGATAATCAAGTGGTTAGAGCTCCCTTCCCGGTTCCAATAGATCTTGGGATCGATTCTCATCACCCACCCTTGTGGCTCTCTAAGCACCAAAAACCAATTAAAATACGGAGAGAGTATCACTTTTTTTAAAAAAAAAAAAAAATTTTACTTTTAAAAAAAATTACTTCGGTATAAATAACGATTTTAATGGCCAAAATATTACATCAACATACGTAAAATGACAAATAGTGCAATTAAGGATCTGTTCTCATTGACTGAATTCAGCTGAACTGAAATGAATATTTTACAAGAGAAGGAAATTAGGAGCTGAACTGACCTGAACTGAATTGAACTGAACTTCAATGTATGAGAACAGACCCTAAAAAAAAGTAGGCAATTTTTTTTTAAAAAAAATAAAACTTCACATTGTGTAATTGTATAAAAATGGAATAAGTAATACTCTCTCATTTTAAATATTTACTCCATTTTCATTTTCGATCGTTTTTAAGTACCTATTTCATTTTTTATTTGAAAACTTTTACAATATTTAATTCATTCGTATGATCTTGCAAACCCAACATAAGTCAGACAAATTATTTTATTAATTTCACATTTTTTCAACTACTTTTCCTTTTTTATTATTTCAGTCATCCCACTACTTTCATACGGAGTATGAAGAATTTTATTACTTTCTCCAATTTTTTACATTCTTGCTTCTCTATTTATTATGTGAAGAATAAATGTTAGAAGTAGAAATGTAATTTAAGAATGGAGGGAGTATTTAAAAACGGAGTTAGTAATTTAAAACTGTCAGCTTGTAGTAGCATTCGGTAGTTCCCTCCCCAAAATTTGAAACAGTAAGTATATTTGCTAGGATAAGATCCGACAGCTGGTCCTCTGACACGTGTACGTCATTCTTTTGTCCTTCTTGGGATTCCCTCCCTCCCTTCAAAATTAGAAAGCCACAAGCCGAGCCGAGCCGATAGTAGTTACTTTTGAAAAGACGAAAAAGCCCTTAAGAGGGAGGGAGATAACGACGTACTAGTAGCTAGGAACATAAAGGCGGGAGAAGATCTTGGCCGTTGATTACGTTGTCGGACGTGGGTAAGGTGAACATACGTACACTAACACTGGCGCCTTGCGCCCAATTATCACCCTAATTTAATATTATTAAAAAAGTGGGCTCCATTTTCAAACCCACATCAATTATTTATGACCCGCCTCATTCATTACTCTCCTCCTAATCTTCTATCCCATTTTTCTTCCTTATTTAGAACTTTTTTCTTTTAAGTAGGCTTACTAGAAGATTAACTTTTTTCCTTTTTTTTTTTTTTTCGTTTTATGTTTTTTTTTTAAATATAAAAATATGTCATCCATAATTTGCAAATTTTTACTCCTTCCGTCTCTAAATTACATTCTATTTCTAACATTTATTTCTCACATAATAGAGAAAAGTAAGAATGTAGTTTAGGGACAGAGGGAGTAGTAGTTAAGAGTTGATGAATTATTGCATTTGTTTACCTAGGATTACGGGGTAGATTTTATGTTTGGCCATGTTACCAAAATAATTTTACTTTTTGAAACGACGCATTATATTAATCAAATACAAGCATACAACTTGGTGAAACGTATTTAAATTGTAATAGATCGATAAGTAGGTCAAACTACTGGGTAACTAAAATAATCAATGTAAAATGTTAATGCTAGCGTATATACTCAAGCATGTCGAGTAAACCAATTAATAACACAATATTTTTGAATTATGTTATCATTTGATTTAGTTATTTGAACTTATTAGGGTTTATAGAAATTGAAAATGAGTAGTTATAAATTGAACTTGGTAGCTCCTATTCGGCTTCATGTAAAAAAAATTGAACTTATTAATCATGAGGCCTTAAATATTTAATGTCACTGTCAAGACTAAAAATCAAATGTAAATTTAATTATGAGGATTGCATAATTGTGAAATCAACTAAAAAATCCACTCGTTATGTATTTGAATTAGTGCATCAATTTGACGTTTATACTGTTTATATTTGGTTAAATGTTATTACCAAATCTGTTAATTATTTGTCGACAACTTTGAATAGTGCAAAAAATTGTAACGGAGTAAGTATTTAAAAACGGAAAAAACAAAGGGAATATATTATAGGACGGAGGGAGTATATTGGTCAAAGTATAACATATTTAAAAAATATATATATAAAATTCTCCCTCCGTTTTTTAAGCTAGAGTTCAATTTTTAGAAATTTCTTACAATTTAATAATATATCTTTACCCATTTATGTTCCAACTCTTTCTTATTATATGATTTATCATTTCTCCAATGGTCTCACTACCTCAGTTTCTCTCACACAACTTTTTTTTAATAAAATAAGGGGTCGTTTGGTTCACACAAGGTAACCGGAATGGAATGAACAAAGAGAATGGAATAAAATAGAATGAAAATACCTTAGTTTTGCTTTGTTGTTTGTTTTTAAAACTAAGGGAAACAATCCCACCACCACCACAACCACCACACAACCACACATTTCATTAAAATTTTCCATCTTTCCCGGCCACCAAACCCCTCGTTGCCCTTCGCCGGCCCTCCCCCACCCCTCGCTGGCCCCAAACACGGCTCATCCCTCCCTCGAAAAACCTCCCTTAGGCAAGGAAAACCCTAGAAACTAGTCTCACTTCCCGTAAAACCCATCGGCTAGCCCTCCCCCTCCTTGCCTAGGGCTTGGAGGGTGGTAGGAGAAGCGGCTGACGGTTTTAAGGGGAGGGAGAAGTGTTTTTAGGGTTTTTCAAGGGGCTGTGGGAAGTTTAATGAAGAAGGAGGCAGATTTGCGGGGCAAGGGGAAGGGTGGCGAAGGTGGTGCAACGAATTTTAGAGGAGGAGCGGTGCGGCGGACGGTTGTCAGGGGAGGAGCAGTGCAGCGGTGGGTGATTTTCTGATGGTGAGGATAGGCAAGAGGGTGGTGCTATGGTGGTGAGGTGGTGGCTCAGGAATGGAATGGAAATACCTAGGGGGTGGGGAATCAACTTAGAGGGGTTTGGGGGAATGGAGAGGATAAAGGGAATGAAAAAAATAGGATAACAAACAACAACAAAGGGAATGAGGGTAGTTGATTCCCATTCCCTTTGATGATTAACCCCAACCAAACGACCCCTAATAACGTTATTTATCCTACTAACATCTTACAGAGTACGATTTTTTAATCAAGCCTCGTAAAACTCCGCGAAATTTCATCTCTAGTCTTTTAAAAAAACGAAAGGAGTACTTTGTGTGTATATATATTTGTTGGCCCCACACTTACTCACTTAGAGCAAGTTTAGCCCCAAGTCTTAAGACTTGAATGTGACATTATTTTTTGTGGTCCCCATTGAAAATGATATCAGCAAATTATTGTTAAGACTCACTAAGACTTACAAAAAATTATCACTTTAGCCCTAAAATTTAAATATTTGACATATTATATGTAGAAAAATGTAAGGAAAAAAAAGGGATAATAAAAATAAAAGTGAGGTGGGAGTAGTGGGTCCCAATCTCAAGTCTTAAGTTGAGTCTTGAAATTTCAAGACTCAATTTGAGACTTGCTTGAGATTTTAGAAGAAAAATGAAAAAAGTTTTAAGCATAAGTCTTAAGACCTAAAATGATGATGTCACCAACCAAGCCACGCCAAAACATTAAATAAAATAAAGTCCCAACTTTTATCTAGTGGACACTAGACTGTGTACAAAATATATCTATCCTAGGAAGCAATTGGATTAACAAAAGATAGAAAAAGCGAAGCCAAAATCTAGCTTCTTCTTTCCTCAATCCGGAATATAAGAAAGAAAGAAAAAAAAAAAAAACTTATTTTTACATTTTTTAAAAAAATGGATCCTATAAAGAAACAAAGCAACTCACTATTGACCAAAATATCACCCAATGCAAAAGACACCGTGGACAAAACGCCAAATCCTCTTTTTTATTTTTCCATTTAAAAAAAAAATAAAAATCACAGCCAAGCCGAGCCGAGCCGAGAAGCCGGGAAATAAAGCAAAGACTAAAAGAGCGTGAACGGGTAATAGCCGGTAAAAACAGGTGGAGCCGGTTATAAAGCCAAATAGCCGTACGATAATTACAGGGTCGTTCCCATGGCAGTTGGTAAGCATTTAGTGCGTGCTTCTCTTTCTCTCTCCTCTATTTCTCACTCACTTCTCACTCATTATTATTATTTCAATTTTAATTTTACTGGGTTTTTTTTTTTTATTTTGATTTAGTGAGAGAAAATTTCATGTAGTAACTGCTCGTCTGCTCTCATTTTCTCTCTCTAAAAACTCCATTTTTTTTTTCATCTTCTTAATAATAGATCCGTTACAATAATTTTTTCATCCTCCTGCATTCTGTTCTATTCTCTGTAATTGCTACATTATGAGGTATAATTTTGGGTTTTGAATTTCTGGGTTTTGTGTTATTTGATTTTTGAATTTCTGGGGTTGGTTTTGATTTTTTTTTTTTTTAAAATGTTTGCATTGAATTTGACAAAAATGGGTGTTTCTCAAAACCTTTCTTTTTGAAGTAATGTCATTTTTTTAAAACTTTTGATTTATTGGAATTTGGGTTAGTGTAATCATCTTCTTGATTCATGTGCTTTCTTTTTCTGGGAAATTCTGATCAATGGGTTTTAAATTCAAATTTCTATGAATGAAGGAATTTGTTCTTCTGAATTCTTCTTATAGTTAGCTATGATTAATTATTAATACTCCGTACTGTTTTTATTTTTTGAGTGCATGCAGATTTTGAAGGTAGATGAAGAAGTTCATTTATTCTCATTGGAAATGATTAGTTAGATTGAGCTTCAGTCATTTATGAATCCAGGTCAGACCATAATCATACCTTATTTCTAAATTATTTTTCAATAATGTAGTTTACTCCGTTGATTAATGATATTAATCTGATTTAATCTGTTATACATTTTCAGGGATTATAATTGACTCTCAGAAATTTTCAGCATCTGGGTTTCTTACATTCCATAAGTGGTAACTGGTAACTTATTGTACAGTTGGGGTAAATTTGACAAAAAAAGAAAAAAAATTGATCTGGGGTTCAATTTGAAGCTTTGGAGATTATCAGGCTATGGATTGTGATTAGGGTAACAATCAATTACTTCGATTCGATTTCGTCGAGAAATAGGATCTAATTGTGTATTGGGATTGTTTGATCAATTGGTACATAATCCAATTAGTGCTAAATTTAGAAATAGAGGGTATTTAGGGTTAGATTATTGGTGATTTAGGGTTGGATTAATTCGTTGACAAGAAAGTAAATTTGGGTAAAAAAAAAGTGAAGAAAATGATTGAATCAGAGCTATGTGCATCAAGGGTGATGTCACCATTTAGAGAAGAAAGTGGGGATGAAGAGCTTTCAGTATTACCAAGGCACACAAAAGTTATTGTGACTGGAAATAATAGAACTAAATCAGTTTTAGTTGGTTTACAAGGTGTTGTTAAGAAGGCTGTTGGTCTTGGTGGTTGGCATTGGCTGGTAAAATTTCTTACTTATAATACTTTATTGTATAATTCTAATACTATTATTTAGTATTGGTTTTATGCACATTGTTTAAGTATATGATATAGTTTGATTAAATACTAAATAATACAGTATATTCAACTTTTGTGATGGTTAAGATTCATACATTGTTTGTTATTACTGTTTGTCTTCTTCAATGATTGAATTTTATTATTGCTTTTGTACTAAATAATTCAATATAACCGGCTAGTTTATGCTGGAGTTTAGATAATTCCCGACCCGAGTTATTTTTATAAATACTAAATAGTGCAATGTTCTTTTGTGTTTGTTAAGATTCGTATTAATTGTGATTAGTTGTTTTCTTTAGGAAATGCATTTCTTAATGTTTTTGAACTAATTTATACATAGGGGTATATCCGTATTTATAATGTTCCAGGGTATTGTTGGATTCTTGAATATTAAATAGCATTTTGCACGGGGTGTCCTGAAATCAGCTGGCTTTGTGTTTTATTCCCTACTGTGATTTTAGTGAGGATAGAATGATCGAATACTGCAACGTTATTCTGATCAAAATAATGCTGAAAAGCTTTCAGGCGATTGTCGTTTACGAGTAAAGCATGATTACTACTGTTATAGTTTTTGTTAAAATTGATTTATTTTTTAAAAATATGCTAATCATTTTCTGGCATGGCATGATTTTTGTAGTGGGAAGACTTTAATATGTCATTTGGACCGACAGTTTGAACAAATTCTTCTAAAAAAGAAGATTTTAAAAATAGCGTGAAAAGACCCAAAAAGTGTTGTCATTCTTTGTCAACTATGTAGCATTTTGTAATGTTCATTGAAGCTTTGCTTTTATTTATTATATGGTATATGAATGAATTGTTTAGCTTCTTTTTACTTTCTGCTTGCTGGTTGCTTACTGGGTGTGGAAAAGCAACATTGTTGCTTACTCTTTTTTGTGATTATTGAGAATTGCATGATTTGTTGTAGGTCTTGAAGAATGGGATTGAGGTGAAGCTGCAACGGAATGCATTGAGTGTTCTAGAACCCCCAACGGGTAATGAAGAAGATGATGAGCTTGATCACTCAAGTAGCAGCTCTGATCTTGGAGAAAAGGACCATGATTTTGGTAAGCTACAGCAATAGTTCAGCTTCTTTCCTCCTTAAATGTATACATGAGCATTAAAGTGCTTTTGTTCTACTTTTTGATTGCTGGTAATACGCTGCAGCTAGTATGGAGTTCCACAAAGTGAGCAAACCAAGAGTGCGACATACTAGACCATGGGGTCCGACAGCTTCCGCTAAGTCAAACCACCGGAATTGCTTGAAGGAACTCCACTCCAACATTCATACCTCTAACTGTGTAAGATGCTTAGCGAACTTTGTGGGCATTGTATATTAGCATAGCACATATTAGCAAATAGCAATAGAGCAAAGAATTCGGTTGATATAAGGAAATAGGGTGCATATGACTATATGAGTCCTCTATTAATTCATCTTAATAAAATCATGTTGGGGATATAGAAACTCACAAGTATATTTTCTTTTCATCACACTCCAATAACATAAAAGGGTCCTTGTCGATACCTAGTAACACCCCTATTTGTCTTTTATGACCCCAAAAACACCCCTCTGATATGTTGGTCACAGTAATTGCTCTATTTCTGATAAGATTTCGTAAATCTTATATGTGTTTTCTGGGTATAAAGTGCAAATTTTTCATAAATAACATAATGACCTTGTATTGTATTTTTAGGGGTAATTGAGCTATTAACATAAATTTTTATGATCCCGCTCTTTGGTATATTTAATTCTTGTCCACATCTTTCTTTTTTTTGACTGCTGTCGAGATAGCTCTTTCAATTGGATTTCATTCTATTATTCATACTTTTGTGTCTGGAAGAGGGAGTTGAAAGTGTTTACCTGTGGACAAGTAGGTATATCACTACTTTGCTAAGTGGTTGTAACTAATTCCACTGTAGGAATAATTGGATTCATAAGATGGGGAACAAAAGCTTATTTTATATGCCTCATCCTGTTTCATCGTTTTTTTTTGTTGTTTTTTTTTGCACAATCCTCATTTTGCGGGTTGTATTATTTCTAATTGCGAGTTAACTTAAGATATTTTGGGCCCTACATTAATTCTATGTTCAAATGTTCAATGGAAAAAACCTGTCATGCAGATCTTTGGAAATAATGTTGTTATTGTTATAAATCAAATTACATGATTATATGTGGTCCTGAAATTTTGCCACAAAGAATATCAAAATTAAGGTTTAACGACATAATTAGGGTATTGTTCCTTTTATTAATACAAAGTGTAATGAAGTATGTGGTCCTAATGCCTGCTTTCCTGTTCTTGAATTTGCCAGAGGCTGGACTTTGCAAAGCTTGGAAGTGATTCACTGTGGAGATATTTGAGCCGGTTTCACCTGGTTAGTTTCATATACGAAATACCCCCTAAACAATTCATCAATCTTTTTAAATACTCAGACAATCCACAATATTGCCTAATATTCTTGATTTTGATTACCAAATCCTCCAGGGGAGCATGAATTCTAGCTCGAAGGAGCAGATGGTTAATATAGTGCAGCGCCACTTTGCTTCACAGGTTTTTCACTCAATTCCTCGTTCTTTTTTTTTTATTATTATTTTTTATTTTTTTATGTTGATTTAGGGATTCTCATCCTGTTTAGTATAATGCTATAGCTGCTGTTCAGTAGACAGACTATCACAGTTACTAATCATTGATTTATTTTGACATTACAGCAAGTTGATGAAGTACAAGTGATTGCAGACTTCATTCGTGCAGCCAAGAAACTGAGGAGCAGTAACAGAAGTAGGGAGTGAAAATATCCAGGTGTTGATCTAGAAAATGCTCTATGTAATTATATTATATATATACATAAATCTTAGCCTAACTTTTAGATTAAATCTAACTGAAAGACCATGGTTTCGGAGAGAGTTAGTTCATTTACCGTAGCTGTCTAGAACTCGCTCTCGACTTTTGATTCTAACCTTGTAATCTGGTGTGTAGGCTAGAAGGCCCAGTTAATATTTATAACCTGAGTTCTCTCTGTTATATATTCAAGTTCTTGAGAATCATGATTCTGTGTCTTCTAAGTGCTAATGCTAGACTAGATTTGGGCATGAGATTACAGATTTGCAGGTTGATAACATGTATTATGCAGTATATAATTTACTTTAGTGATGCTTTTTGACTTATTTTTTCCACATACTCCAAATTACTTGGTAGGCAGGCTATAATTTGTGTTTTCTTTTTCCTATTTACTTTTCATTTTTATGATTGTGAACCGTGCTCTTCTTTTTATGATAGACGGCATAGACCAATAATAATTGAACCAAGAAAAAAAATGGGGCCATTGGATTTAATTAATTACTTGTAATTTTAACTAATTGGAGAGAGAGATAATTTGTTCTTTAACACACTAATCCCTTTTTTTTTCCATCTTTAGATTGTTGGTGTTTTTTTTTTTTTGTATAATGACCTTGTTACTTTTGCTTTAACTTAGATTAAAGAAAATTAATGTATGAATACAACGTTGACTAGTTAATGCAAGACAAATTCATGTAAGACTTGTTCTTATCAAGTAATACTTAGTGTATAGGTAAGGATTTTTTCAAAATCATGAACTAAACTAATTGAGAAGAAAGAGTTCTAGCATAACAATGATGCTTATACCCATCGAGTTTTTATTAACATCCCTTCATTCCTTGTCCTCTTTAACAGTAAACACCCCTAAAGGTCTACCTGCCTTCTATCGTAGCCACCATATTCGCCATTCAATCCGGTCCAATCAGCGTTACTCAACGCGCGAAACAGCCAAGCTTTGAACCTCTAGAAGCAACTTATTCAGTGATTTGGTCACAGGCTTGTACACTGTAATGGAGGCCACAGGCCAGTCAAGCCACTATTAAGTAATAGCTTGGGTAGTGGACTAGTGGTGGTAATAAGGCCAATATAAACTTCATGTCAATGTAATTGAAGTGGTTACGTAAAAACTTTATGTAAAAGAAACAATCCATTTTGCATGCACCCGGTGTACAGTATTTTTACTGTACATCGGACTTTTTGCACGTGCCACTCATTTACTAGGTTTTTTTTTTTAAAAAAAAAAAGCAAAATCGCGAAATTTAATACCTCAAAATCAAAAAAAACGCAGAACAACAATGGAGGAGAGAGAAAGTGAGAAAACGCAACCCTTGATCATGAACTGAGGAGAGAGAAAGTGAGAAAACGCAAAAATTGTAGAAATCGATCATCAATTGAGAAGAAAAAAGGTGAAAAAAACGAACAAATTAAAAACTTCGATCATTTAATTAAGCCCTTTTAACAGAAAAAAGTGAACCTTTAATTTACTGAAAAAATGACCCTTTTCACATAATAAATCATTTACATAAAAGTAATTCTTTTCATGAATAGAAGTGATCCTTTTTCTAAATAAAAGTGACCCTTTTCATAGCTAAAGTTACCCTTTCTAAAAATAAAGTCTACATTTTTCTTGTTTAAAAGTTACCCTTTCTATAAATAAAAGAAAATGTAACTGAAACAATATAAAATTAAAACAAAATATAATTAAAAAATGTAAAAAAAAAAAAACTATGTATACTTACACAAAAGATTCAGAATCAGAATCAGAAAGCATTTCATAATCAGAATCTTCCACTGTATTAGCTTTCTTACGTACAATTTTGGCCTTCTTAGGAACTATTTTGGCCTTCTCAGACTCTGGTTTGTCAATCTTAGAAATAATTAAGCCCTTCTTAGGAATTTTCACAGCCTTTTTAGGTACTGCTTTGCTCTTCTCAGGAGCTATCTGGGTCTTTTTTGGTACTGGTTTAGCCTTAGCAGGCTCTTTAGGCTTTCCTTTTCCTTTTGTAGGCATTTTATAACGATAACCACCTATATTTAATTATTACAGTGAAATAACAAAAATTACAAAGAAATTACTCATGGAAAAATTTAGAATAATGTGCATAAATGACCCTTTTAAATGCATAAAGTGACCCTTTTAACAGCACAAAGTGACCCTTTTAACATCACAAAGTGACCCCTTTAACAACATAAAGTACCCTTTTAACAGCATAAAGTGACCTTTTATATGCAAAAAGTGACCCTTTTAACTGAAAAAAGTTACTCATGTAACAACATACAGTGACTCTTTTAACAGCATAAAGTCACCCTTTTAACATCATAAAGTGAACATTGTCAAAGCATATAAATGACACATATGTCTATTACTCAAACACATTGAGCAATGCACATATGCATGTTATTCAAACACAGATGCACAAACACAATGCACATATGCATGTTAATCAAACACAAATGCACAAACACAACAACACACATAACAAATTCAATTTTTAACAACTTATAAACAATGAACAAAAAAATAAAGCAATAATAAACATTTTAACTTCAAAATTCAAATTCAATATTCATAATCTGCATGAAAAATCTAATAAATCCACAAAAATAACATGCATTACTAATTAAACATATATTAGCGAAAATTCAATTGAAAATTTTGAAAAAGTGATGAAAAATTTAAGTAAACACACCTTCTTGAACATCTGAAGACTTCTTACTTCTTTGTAATCTTCTTCTTAACCATTGAAGAATAAAACACTACAAAAAATCGAAAACAAAAACAAAATAAAAAAACCTAAAAATCGAAGATTCAAAACAACTTAAAACTAACAAAAATCGCAAAATAAACAAGTAAACGAACCTGAATATAGCAAATAACAACTTCACAAGTGAACTGAGAAGAGAGAAAAGCTTGAAAGTCGCCGATTGAGGAGAGAGAAAAAGCTCAAAATCGCCAGTTATGGAGAGAGAAATCGTAGTTGAGAGAAAAAACGAGGAGAGAGAAAGCAACTGGTAAATGAATGAGGAAGAGAGAGAAAGTGCTTTCTTTATTTTGGCAATAATCAATTGGCACGTGCATGATTCAAATTTTGGCAGTTATTAACTTGCCCAACTTCCGCCATTCATTAATTTAATGATCATCCGCCTTTTTTAAACATTTGTGTAAAAGAAATAGGAGGAGAGTTTACAAGTTCGAAGAAGAATTCGTATTAAAAACAATTAATGATAGGATTAACACTTATATTCCCACCATTTTCCATTGTTCTTTTTGTTTTGACTATATTGAGTGTACATGCTTATGAATTAATGCATCTCTGATCATATAGAACAAAAATCCATATATCGCTATGTTTTTTCTAATATTTTGATAAGAATTTAGAATATTTCTCTAACTGTAAGCGTCAAGATTATAAATGAGAACAAAAACAAACGGAAACTAGATTGTAACATGGGACAACTTATACATAGTATGAACAATAACTTTAATTCCCCTATGTGATAGAAATATTAAATATTAAATAGTTACATACTATGAAATTTAAAATATCGAGTTGTTGGATAATGATGAGTATTTTAGTTTGAAAATTTGTTGTAGGGCACTAATAGTCACATAAAATAAAAAAAATAAAAAAAACCTTCAAATTTAAGGGTTCAAAAGGATATTTATGAGTTTTTGTGAAAGTATAAATTACGAGTATATTTTAAATCTGAATTAAAATCATATAAAGTACGAAGTATTATTCAGTTAAAGATACGAAGTATTCCTATCTCATTTTAAAAGTATAAGTAAACTCTTATTAATAGTGTTGAGACTATTATGCCTCTAAAAATGTTTATCTACGTATTTACCCCTTTTAAAAGATAACCACACTTTATGAATAGTGTTGAAACGATTATGTCCCTATAATATTTATTTACATATTTGCTTACATAATTTTTTTTTTTAAAAAAAAAATCTTAAAATTAGCGTGTGGACATTTATACCCCTAAAAAATATTTATTTACATATTTTTCCTAATTAACGCTAATAACAACTTTAAACCAAATGAATTTCTTGGTCAAGGCTAGTCTTTATAAAAGTATTATAGAGGTTCATGACCCAATTGTACACTAAAAGAGTTTATATAAACTTATACTCTACAACAAAGATGTGCCACGTCTAGATGGTTAGGGCATGTTCATATTTACTGAATTGAGCTGAACTAAATTGAACTGATCGAACTGATTGGAGTTGAACTGAATAGTAAATATTTCATTAGAGAAGGATATTAGGAGCTGAACTGAACTGTTAAGCTGAAATGAACATACCCTTAGACTATAGGCTTTATGAATATTTAATGACAAACTACCCTTACTTTATACTCCCTCTGTCCCAATTTACTTGCAACATTTTAACTTGACACGCTTGCCGATGCATATGTTTGACCGTCGATATCTTTATTATACATTTATCAAAGCTATAGAAAGCTTATATTAAGAAACTATATATTAAAATAGAGCCAATAATATCTTACATGACTATATTGACTTTTATATAATAGCTGAAAAAAAATGGTCAAAGTGAGATGTGTGAATAATGTAAAAAGTCAAAACGTTGCGAGTAATTTGGGACGGAGGGAGTAGATAAAAGATCAAGCCCCAATTTACAAGCTTGAACAAATTATGTTTAATTTTTGCAAATAAGTTGCATTGAAAATTGTGTTTTTTATTAAAAAAAAATATATTTTTATTGTTTGTGGGCCACTATGACAAGTTGAATAGTTTTTTGGAGTTAACGGTATTTACTCACCGTTTGTTACTATTCATCTTCTTTCTCCTACCTTTTCTCAAATCTTCTATCGGCAACACCACCATAGCCACCATCTAGTCCACCACCATCCGAAACCCATCACAACTACCAACACCCTGTTTACCTTCCGCCGATCAAACCCACAAAAGCCTTCCCCTTTGTCCCGTCATCTTCCTCTGATCTTCTTCCCATAGTCCTCCTCTTTCTTCAACAACAATGGCCATTTCGCGGCGAAACAAAAAGATAACCTATTAGATTAGAGTGTAAATTAGGGTTATATCAACCCTTTAGGGAAAGCCTTTCATTCATGACGACATTTTGAACTAACATAGGTGGTAGGTATAAGTGGTTTCTAGGTTTGGGACTTTGGGTTTCAGATTTCCGCCATTGAAATTGAAGGTTGAAGGAGGAGAGAGAAAATCAAAAAATACCAAAAGGTTTAAGGAGGAGAGAAAAATGACATTT